TAATCAAGTTGAGCCAAAAATTAGTCGGATAACTAGGTTATACATATAAAATATTGGAAATGCCCTCATACCAACCCCTTTAAAACAAAGACAAAAATGTAATATCATTATTATACCATAACATCTATAAATATGAGATTCGTTTTATGAATATGACAAAATTGATTAGTGTTTATTCATCTCGCACTCTCTCCGTCTCTCTCTCTCTCTCCTCTCCTTATTTTCACTCTAATCCTTGATTGTGATTTATGGACAAATCTTGATTCAACATTGATACATCTCCAATGAATATCCATCATTTGACATGAATTTTGAGGCATGACGTAGATCTCAAATTGGCTTTTTAAGAGATATTCAAACATCGATAAGAACTCATCCAAAACTTTGATTTGAGCAAACATACAGTCAAACTGACCGGCTCGATAAGAAGAACCCACTGTTACAAAAATTAGTCCAATCAGAGTTAAATCAAGCTCAGATCAAGTCATTAGACTACTCTTAGAAGGTTTCCAGACATATTTAGAATTTTAACGAATTTCGAATCTAGCGAGCCTATAATCCAATTGAGCGTCTCGACAAGACAAATCCAACGAGTCTAAGATTGCTCAATTCTGACATCGTTCAGGCACACAAATGTTCATTAAACGACGTATGATTGAAGAAAGCCCTCCAGACCATTCGACCAAAGTGATTCATATTCTTGCATTCATTGCACTCAGAACACTATAAATAAACACACCTATCTTATGCATTCATTGCACCCAAAACACTATAAATAAATGCTCACTTTTCTCATTAGAGAAGGTTGGAGGCTTGAGAGAGAATTTAAAGCTTTGAGAAAGAGCTGAAATCCAACACCACCCCTGTCACCATATATCGTCGTTGATCGCCGTCACTGTCGTTGACACTTGCAGACCGCTGTCGATCATTGCCAACCATCGTTGATCGTCGTCGACCATTGCTGACAGCTGTCTAGCACTATTGTCGTCGTCAACCTCCATCGACCGTCGTCAGCCGCTGACCACCGTTGATCACCACTAACCGGAAGTTGCTAGTCGATGTTGTAACTTGAAAAACCTAGTAAATCTTTTCTATCTGTGGGACAAGGAGTCTTTGTAATCATCAACTTATAGTGAATTTTACATCTCGGTCTTGCCCCATGATTTTTTTCCTTTTACAGGTTTTCCACATAAAAACTTCTGGTGTCATTAATGATTATTTTCTTTTACATATATGTGTGTTTAATTCTCGTGCAACGCTAAGATGATAATTCATTACGCTACCTGTACAAATTTTCTAGCACGCGTCAAACATAAATGCCTGCAAATAACTGCAAAATTTAATTAGAAAAAATATAAATGCGTGCAAATAATGGGTTTATTTTAATAATAAATTGACAATAAAATAATTTCTTAAGAACTCCTAATCGTTTCTGGTATGTAATATGTTTGAATTTGGCTTCAAATCCACATGATATTTGATTGCACTATTTTCAACAGTACAAACGATTTTGTCGTTGGTTCATTCAATTATGACAGTGTTCTGTAGAAGAATTTACAATTACTATTACTATTATTAATTTATTATCATTATTATTATTATTATTATTTATTTTCTTTATTTAATTGAGTACTTAGGGTTAAATTTCCTGGTTTTGGTTACTTTGGTTATTTGGCGTCCACTTGAACCGGCATAAATTGTGAACCTATCAGTGGTGCACAAAAAGTTAACGAACTTCTTGTATGTCAACCCTCCATTATTCATTCACCTTCTATATATTATAAAAACTTGTTTTCAATTATGAACTTTTGGGACCACATGCTATTCCAAAATCAGTTATTCATTTGTTCCCTAAAGTTTTTGGGGGAACCACAAAACTTATGAATATAAAAATTGCAGTTCTTACATTAAATTTTAAGTAGGTCGAAACCACAAAATTGATGCAAAATTAATGATAAAAAGATTGTGAACAACTATAAATGGCTTTCATTGCGGGCGGGATATAAGATTAGGGCAAGACATAGAGGTAAGTGATTTCGGGCGGGATATAAAATTAGTTCTAACGGCCCATAAATGACTTTCATTACGTCGGCTATTAACGCTACTCCTGACAGCTGTTCTCATAACTTTAAAATAAAATGAGTCGGTTAAAACCATACCAAATGACGAGTTCGAAAATAACCGATGAATTATAACCGTCAATTAATATTTGTTTATAACCGACATGCGACTATAACTAAAAAATTTCGAAAAACAAAATATTGTTGATAAGCGATGGTACATGTTGTAGTTTTACCGTTATAAAAAACCAAGATAAAAAATAGTCTCAAAATCATTGAGGATATATCTTTGGATATACTTAATTTTTTCTTTATTTTACACATATTTTTGAATGAAACTGCAATTTAATAGAATGTGTTTTTATGTTTATGATGCATGTATAACATGTAGGAGCATTGGAATGAATTTGGACTAAATCTGAGCAAAACGAAACCAAATAGAGCAAAGGTGCCAATTAAGGTATGGCGCCAAGCACCCACTTTCGGGCGCAAAGGTGTTGCACCTGAACACCTTGGTGCCAAGTTCCAGAGAACCTGACGCCCAGGCACCGCAGATTGGGCGCCTAGGTGTTGCAATTCAGACAGTTACTTTTTGCACGACCCCTGGAATTATTTTATAGGTGTTGACTATTCAGACGGGTAGTTTTGGAAATCTTAGGAGTATGGAAGAAGTTCCAAGTCTTGGAATTCTTCAGGGACAGTAGGTAGGAGTAGGAACTCTTTTTTTAGAGAGATTTGAGAGGGGAATTTGAGAGAATCTATAAGGGGTTTACAACAGTATCTTGTGTAGCACTATGAAAAACATCGCCCAATGGAATTTAATTCTCTTTTCACAGGGCAAAAGCTAAGCATCGTGTGCAATCTTATTTGATTAGTGTTGTAAACACATATATGATTAATTTGCTTGGATTGAATGAAATTTTCTTTGGTGTTTATCATGTGTAGTGAATAGATTTCTTATACTTTTCTCTTGTGATAGATATGTTAGCTTTGTAGGGTTGTGAATGCTTTGAATTGATCTTTATTTTCATGTGATGAATATATCTCTAAACTTAATTTACATGTTGTGTTGGTAATATAACTTGTTAAAATTCGTTGTGACACATTAGGACTCGAAAGAGCAGTGGCAAAACAACATAGAAGATTCACATTGTGTGAATGGCTAAGAAGGATGAGTCATGAGACAATGCAACTTAGGGAGATGTGTATCGATATAATTTGAATTAGAAGTTTCACGGGTGATAGACATAAACAATTACATAAATATGAATCATACTCATTTATGCACTTGAAAGAGGGTAAATGAATATTATGCTTCTGTTGTTACTATCACATTATAAAGTATTAACACCTACAATCTACCTAGGAAATCACAAGAGAGAAGTACCTTTATAAATCTTGAATTTCACTTGTTTAATTGATCTAGGCAAGTTTAACTTAGGCGGTAGAAATATACTTAGGAGTGGTTGTTAAAAAAACCATATTTAGCGATCTTCCAAACTATGAACTGAAAGTAGTAGGCTAGAATTCACTCTTAGAATGTTATTACTGTGAAGTATCTGCCACCTTCCATGTGGGATAGACATTTTGGACTCAAGTAGAGCCTTATATTACGAAAGCGATACGTGCACTTGTGTGGTAACCCTGACACTTAATTAGAGATTGTGAGTTAAATTAAATTATCATTAAAGTGTTGGTAGTTGCTGTGGCCATTAATTGGTAAGTAGAATAATTTTTTAGAGATATAAAAAGCCATCAGTTTTAACGTTTTTTCTTGTAGTGGCCCACTTTGGGTGCAACAGATGAGGAGGCTCTCAAGCGCCCCTCTTTGGGCACCTAGGTGCCCAATATTGGGCGCTCAAGCTCCCAATTCAGGCACATCTACGCCCTTAGGCACTGCTTTACAGAGAGCACATAGGGCGCCAAAAATTGGTACAAGATTTCCTGTTTAAGGACCAATTTCGAGCAACATAAGCATTCTTTCTTTGGTGGGATGCTCTTTGATAAAAATTCCGGTGAAGGTGAGAAATGTCAGAGAGAAAGATTTCGGTGGTTTCAACATGTGTTTCTCGCGTTGGATCGGAGAAAGAAGGGTTTGACGCGAGATCTTGTAAGTTTTTTTTTAGAGAGAAGAGGAAATTGAGTGTGTTTCTGTGATTTTTATAATGAAATGATTCTGATGGTGTGGCTACATAATTTTTTTTCTTGTTCTCGGGTTTTACCACGTAAAAGTTTTGTTTGTTTTTCTAATTTGTTTTTGTTGTGCTTTTGTTCGTAAGTGTTCTCATTTTTTGTCAAATCTATGTGATCTTGTAAGTTTTTTTTTAGAGAGAAGAGGGAATCTCTCTATTCTGTAATCCTTTTTCTGAATATTGAAAGGAACTCGCCGCTCTGCTCCCGAGGACGTAGGCATCTTTGCCGAACCTCGTTAAATCTCTGTGTTCTTCTGGATTTATGTCGATTACTATTTTCTCAACGAGAGAGTTGAATTCCTCTATTCTGTAATCCCTTTTCTGAATATTGAAAGGAACTCGCCGCTCTGCTCCTGAGGACGTAAGCATATTTGCCGAACCTCATTAAATCTCCGTGTTCTTCTGGATTTATGTCGATTACTGTTTTTCTTCGCCCTAATTTTCTCAACAATTATCATATTATCATATGCATGCTCGAGTTCGTGCCATAGATTCACTCCCAATTCAATTAAAAAAAAAAACAAATGTTAGTCATAAAAGTTAAAATAAAAATTTAACAAAGGTAGTAAATACTGATCCATGTCCAAAGTTTGAGTTATGAAAATTGACTATTTTGGCTGTATATTAAGCTGTAGACTAAAATAATATTATTCTCGGATTTTGCAGCCTATTATATCTTGGAAGTCAAACTGAAGATAGACCTAACACTATTTTTCAATTCATAAAATATCTCCCATCGTCACTAACCATTATATATCAATTCACTAAACTTCCCCATCCCTCTCAAAACTGTTCTCATTCATTTACTCCAACCACAGCTATTACTATAGCTTTAATGGCCATGGCCTTCCTCTTCCTCCTCCATTACAATCAATTCATTTCTCTTCTGTGCCTCCCATAATTCCTCTTTCCATCACTAACCCACCCACCTCTTCTTCTTCAGCAGTCCTCATCTTCTCCCCTTCTGCTTCTGAAATTCATCTTCTAGAGCTTAAATCAATCTCTGGTGAGTTCCTCCTTCTCCCTTTATGATTTTTCTTAAATCCAATCATGGATTGGATCTCCATAAATCCATCCAAGGAGATGACTTCCTCTAACTATCCTCCTTCTCCTCCACTTTCCATGACCAAATATGAAAGTAAAATAAGCCCAACAATCCTCCTCATAATCGTGATACTATCAGTCATATTCTTCATCTCTGGTATTCTTCACCTCCTTGTTAGATTTCTCCTTAGACCCACAGTAAGAGAGCCAGAAGATCCAGACAATGGCACTGCTCTGCAAGGCCAGCTCCAGGAGCTCTTCCATCTCCATGATGCAGGTGTGGACCAGTCCTTCATCGACACCTTACCAGTTTTCCTCTACAAAGCCATTATAGGCTTGAAGGACCCATTTGACTGTGCTGTTTGCTTGAGTGAATTTGAGCCACAGGACAAGCTCAGGCTTCTCCCAAAGTGCAGCCATGCTTTCCATATCGAATGCATAGATACATGGCTTCTTTCTCACTCCACTTGTCCTCTTTGCAGAAGAAGCCTTTTCCCTGACTTCTCCCCTGTCCATAATAGCTTCAACCCAGTGCTCCTAGTGCTTGAATCCGCAGGTGATAGCTCAAGGGAGTTTGTTGCATCCAATAGAGAAGAACCTGGGCTGAATCAACACCTGGGCAATATAGATACTGAATCAACACATGGTTCATTTCAGAAGCCATCAGAGGCTGTGGTGAAGGAGGAATTCAGCTTGCAGGATGAAAAGGTTTTATCAGTCAAGCTTGGGAAGTTTCGAAATGTGGATTCTGAATCAGGTGGAGAAGAAGGTAGCAGTGTTGGCAATAGAAACATGGAAAAGAGCCAGAGGAGATGCTTCTCCATGGGTTCTTATGAGTATGTCATGGATGAGAGTTGTGTGCTTCGAGTAGCTCTCACTTCCATCAAAATGAAGAAGCTCAGTGTCAAGAGATCTGGTTATCGCTCGGCGATGTCTGAGTCTGGTTTTCATCCAAGTACAGATGAATTGAGCACCTCAGAGCTCAGAGCTAACAATGCTTCCGATCTCTGTAAAAGAGAGAGTTTCTCAGTTTCAAAGATATGGCTTCAACCAACAAAAGAGAAGGCTGATTCTTCGAGACGAGCCGTCTCCTTCCGCTTTCCATTGCATGGTGCTCTCGCCATGGATTCGAAGAAGATTCGAGTTGGTTTAGGGGAAGAGAGGGAGAAGAGTGGAAGTGAGATGGATCTGGATGTAGAAATTGGCAGCTGTGTCAATAGTTCATGTTCACAGATTGAAGGAACTCCTTCATTTGCAAGGAGAACAATGCTATGGATTGTGGGGAGGCAGAACAGAGTAGGGAGCAATCAATGATATGAATTGGATGGAATTGATTCAATTCAACTTCAACTAGTTTTAGTTTTTTTTTTTTTTTTTGTTTCTATTTGCTTCTGAAAAAAACATAGAATTATGATGCAAAAGTTTGATGTTAATCATAAGAAAAAGAATTGCAATATGGTGAAGAATTAATGTTCTTGTAAATGCATGTGATTGAAATTCTAAATGATGGAAGGAAGTAAAGGCAGATTTGAAATTTTGAATTGTATGGTTGAGAGTTTCTGGTTGTGGGTGTGGGTTAGCTTCCGCTCATTATCATGGATCTGTTTAGTGCTACAGCTGGCTTTTGCATTCAATGCTATAAATGAAGAGAGGAGTAGGGGGGTTAGGAGTTCAAATGGGGGATTTGATTTATTTTGTAGCTTTGTGTGGAGTTCTTTAGTGGATATTTGGCTTGATTTTTATTTGTTATGGGTGAGGAATATGTGATCCTTTAAAAAGAACAACCAACCAGTTTCACATTTTTTTTTCCAATATGTAAATTTAAAAAAAATCACAGAAATACAAAAAAGGGGCACAAACTGAAGAAAATTTATAATTTTTATAAATCTAAACCTTTAATAATAGAGCCAATAAATGCAGAGCAAAAAAAACATGGAAAGTGGGGACAAAAAATCCAATTAATTTATAATTCTATATATTTAAATAAAAGAGTTATTCATATATTACCTTTCAATTGCATAACCAACATTTATGATTAGGATGATATGCTACATAATTCAAATTCCAACCATCTAGAATATAGTCCCGTGGTGGTCAGTTTGATTCAACATGAAAAATCATGACTCTAATTTCTTAGAGGTTGTTTGAGATTAATTTTATTTTATTTATTTTTATTTTTTTAAATTTTATTTATATTTTAATTGAAAATAAAATATATTCAATATAATAAAATCATATTTTTAGTTTTATGCTTATTAAGTATTAAATATGAATCGGTAGATGCTACGTGACAGTTAATGATGATTATAACATTTTTTTAGAACACTTAAAACATTAAAAAAATTAATTTAAGTGTCTAAAAATAAGTTGATTTTTTAAATAAAATAAATAGAAATATATGTAGTGATGTGTGGATAAAGATTCACAATGGTAGAGTGATTATTCAGTGTCTTAGCGTTGTATAAATAAATATCAAAAGTTATTAATTGAAAGCCCTTGAAATGAGGAAAAAACTAAAAGGTACAATTGAAATATTTCACTATGTAATGGTGAGTACAGACACACTTTTCTCCTAAGTTAGCGAAGATGAAATTATAAAGTAGAAGTGAAATGATATTTCAACAATAATAGTTGTATATGATTGTGAAAGCTGTAGTAGATTGTTATGGAGGTAATTGTCTGTCGTGAATATTATAGGTGGTGATTGTAGCTTCGGCTTGTTGCTGAAGCTGTAGTTGAAAGTCATGGTGGTAGTTGACCACGCCATCTATAGATAATTGCTTCAAAAACATCAGTTGGTCATAAATGTTGCAATAGAGAGCTGCATAAGTTGTTGATCAAGTAGGTCGTAGTTGGTCATAGTGGTTAGCTGTGAAAACGTCTTTAGACTACAGAGGCTAGAGATGGGAGTTATGTGAGTTGTGAGTCGCATTGGTTGTAGTTGGTCATGTAGACCATATCAGAGAGCTATAGGAATGTTCTTAGGCCATAAAAGGCGGAGTTAACAGTTGTATGAGCTATGATAACGTCAATAGGTCATAGAGGTCAGAGTTGGAAGCTACACAAGTTGTGATGATATTCATAGGCCACTGTTGTTAGAGTTGAGAGTTGTATGAGCTTTGATAACATTCGTAGGTCGCAAAGGTTGGAGTTGGTAGTTCCATAAGTTCCTATAACGTCCATAGGTCGCAGAGGTCTGAGTTGGGAGCTCCATGAGTTCTTATAACGTTTATAGACCATAAATGTCAGAGTTGGGAGCCACATGAGCTATGATAACGTCCGTAGATTGCAGAGGTCAGAGTTGGGATCTACATGAGCTATGATAACATTCGAAGACCACAAAGGCTAGAGTTGGGAATTGTATGAGTTATGGACCACAAAGGTTATGATTGGTCAACTAGGCTGTAGTGATGTGGCTACAATGAGAGAGCTTCATGTGTCCGAAGATGCTCAGTGTATCATAAGTACAACAGTTATAAGCAGTTATCGCGGGGTGCATTATTATACCGTCTTTAAGAGACATCATTGAATCATATATGTGGCACGTTGTTGCACTTCATTTAGGGTACGATGTGACATTGTCTTCGAGATGCGTCGTTACATGGACTTCGAGGTACATTGCTACACTATGTAGGGTGTGTACTGCACCATCTTCAAGGCATTAATACACTTTCTTTTAGGTGTGTTGCTCTATATAATGCTTCATTACTCTGCAAGGTTGGTCATTGCTTCGCTCGGTGCTCTGTTACTTCGTAGCGCATGTTGTGACTCTGCAAGGGGCTTTGTTGCAACGAGTAGGGGCGGCAGACAATGATCGACGACAGCTAGTGAGTGGTGGTCGGCTTTGGTGGACTGCAGTAGTGGTTGGTGTTCGCTGGTCCTTTGATGTATAACACAGGATCTTAGTTCCTTCTTCTCCAAGTTTTGATCTTCTAATTTAACACTAGAAGCTTCAAAAAAATAGCTTAACAGTTTGATATGGGCTTCATTTGATTTGCATTGGACGAACTATTGTGTCATTGTGTTCTTCTCATCAAACCGACTAGTTTGACTCTACGTTTGCTGACATCGGAGTTCAGGTTGATTTTCAATTGATGTTTAAACATTTCTTGCTTAAAAAATTGCTTCGAGATTCATGCCACTTCTCAAAATCCATGCTGAAAGATAAAAATATGCTAATGGCATAACATTAAGTAAATGCATTTTTAAAAGAAAAAAATAGAAAAATAATCTTCACAAAAAATATGTTTTACTATTACATTAAATAGAGGACTATTATAAGATTTTAAAAGTGAAATACATATTTTCATGTATAGGTTTGCAACACCAAAATATTATGTATGTAAATAGGAAAGTTTAGGAGTAAAATATATAAAAACATAAATGAATATAAATTTTCATTTTTTTCTGGGCATTTACATACATACTGCCCAATTCCTACATATTTACATAGTAACACCCGTACTGTAATTATTACATTCATACTTCCCATACCTTTAACTTTCAAAATATAAAATACGCCTTTCATGCATAGGCAAAATATGGTAAATCTTCCTTCAATTTTTATTTTTATTTGTTCAACCAGAATGCGACCTTGAACATCTTCCGTAACAGCATCAGGCTTTATTTTAAAGCTTTAAATAACTGAAAAAGAAATCAGAATTCTCATTTATTAAACAAAAACAGTCCAGATCTTCATAAAGTTGAACACATCTTCTCTTTGTCCACGAATATCATCATTAGCCCCCGACAAAACAGTAATTGTATTAAAAAGCTAAAAGGACAAAACTAACTAACAGTGTGTAAAATCGAAAAAAGAGCAAAAGCAAAACAAAAGGAGCGTGTTGGGAAGTAAAGCTGATAGCTGCTATATCAATTATCTCGGTCTTATGAGGAAGAGTTCAATGCACCTCATGTTGTAGCAGTTGCGCTTGCTAGATCAAGCGTGTGAAAGAAAGCATTCAGACAAAGAAGAAGATAATAATTTCAGTTCTACATTTCTCAATATTGGATAGTTTTAGTACAGTGGGTAGATATACAACTGTGATTTGGAGATCCCAGATACTCAAAATAGTGAAGGCCAATGGATTTCTCGGTTTCCTTGTTGGTTCCATTCCACAGCCGCATCTTACTATAAATAATGCATCAGGTACACCTCTCCCCAATCCCGAATACCTTATCCGGATGCTGTTTGATCAGAACCGAGGCGCAGCTATCTCTTCAACTATCTCTACTACCATTCGGGCATATGTGCTAACTCATGACAACTGCTCTGCAATCTGGAATGCCCTGGAAAAAAGGTTGCTTGCTACTAGCTGATCTAAAGTGATCCAGTTGAAAAATGAACTCCACAATGTATTCATGAAAAACCAAATTATCAACAGTTGGACTCTCAATCAACATCGAAGGCACTTTCCTATATGCCCTTAAAGGCCAATTAAATCACACTGACCTAGAAGGTCTTTACTCTCTTCGCTCGAGTGAAGACATTAATATTGTCAATGACAATTTAGCCTTTTACACCTCCAATCTTCAATTGGCCCTCTATATGCAAAGAGGAAAGAGCAGGTATAATTCCAATAAAGACAGAAACAACAATAGCAACACAGGATACAAAGGTGCTCCGTTTGACACAACCAAATACTCAGCTCCCAAACCAACTAGAGGAGATGGCCCGATTCACTGTCAAATCTGCAACAAACCAGGACACATAGCTCCAGAATACGGGCAAAGACTCAATGCTATCTATCAACTAACTAGGTCTCCACCATCCACAGATTTCATTACATTTTCCACAACCAATCCAGATTGGTATTTGGACACAAGTGTCACAAGCCACCTGATGTCATCTCTCAATCAACTTCAAGCAGTCGAATCATTTCATACCCCACAAATCTCTCATAATTTAATTTCTCTCTTTCAACTTATTGCTGATAACAGCAATGGCATAGTCATTAATGTTGTCAGTTATCAAATTAAAGACGAAATCATACAACAGACTCTTCTTCTAGGTCTGCTGAAATTGGTTTTTATCCAATTCCAGCAAATCAATAAGCCTTAGTCTTCACAATGAAAAAATATTAGGTGTGTAATCCGTAGGTGCGGATTACACAACTAATAATTTTTTCTCTACCAAAACCTGTAACATCCTTTGGCATCAACGTTTGGGACATGCTAGTCACCAAACTCTTGCAACTATAGTAAAACAACACACCCAACTTTCAATTTCTAGTTCTTTTTCCTTTTGTGAGTCATATACAATTGATAAAAGTCATCTTTTAGCTTTTCCTTCGGTCAGTTTTACTCAATGTAATCCCATGGAGCTCATACATTCAAATGTTTGGGGACCATACCCAACACCATCTATT